AATGTCAGCTTTCCTCCTCCTCTGATGCTGCTTGGCCTGCTGTGTTCATCCAGCTCTACACCTTGTTATCTCAGATTCTCCAGCATCGGCAGTTCCTACTATGTCTGCATTGAGAACAGACCTGCTTTTAACTTTTCTAATTTCTACATCCCAGGTTCCAGACGCAGCAATTTCAAATTCAGATATGAGTGGAGAAAGCTGATCATTTAAATATCCAGCTGCCTCTCTGAAACATTCATCTAAACTGGCCCCAATCTCTCCCCTGTGAAAATGGGAACTGCTGGCTTCAGGGACAGGACTTGGGGTCTCTGTCATTTTGTCACAGTGGTGATGTTCTCTGCGTAGAGAAAAATCTGTGTTACAGATGAAGGCCAGCAAAGGTCAGATCAACCTATTTGCCACATGTGTGGAAAGCAAGATCAAGGCTATAAATATTTTGTCAGCAGGAGAATGAGGAAGTGAAAAAGTGTTTACGTGATACGAAGTCTGCACCTCAACATCTAGAGATGGCTATAGGGCAGGCTTTCATCCAACACATGAGCAGCCTGATAAGGGCCCAAAGGGCAACTTGACAGTGTCAAGATCTCAAGTGGAAAATACATATCCCATTTACAGGAGTCCAACACCATTTGTCCAGTTCGCCATGGACAAAATTCTTTCTTGATTTTGAGAATGTGTATGAAAAATGGAGGGGGGGGAGGGGGGGCAGAGGAATGTTTGGGTTAGAAGTGCAGTCTGTTCTAACATCTAACAATCTGTTTTCCAGATTGGCTGAATTCATGTGATCTCTCCTGTGAGGCCCTCTCTAGGGGCTGCTCTCTTGACAGCACGCAACATCCCTCACTGCCGTCTGCAGGCCAGACTCATCCAAAATTCCAGACTCATTTTTAAGTCTGTGCTTCACCATTACTTCTTCCTTGGGATCCCCTGCAGTCCCAGCAGTGACCACTGTTCAATCCTGGCACTGCTGGGAGAACATAGCAGCAATCCCGACTGGATTGGTCAGCAGTTCCTTACAGTGAGTCTTCCTCCCAAAATGGAGTGAATGACTCACTCTGAAACAATTCCAGATGTTTCCTGTGGGGCACCTCGGGTTTTGATAGACAAGCTGATGACTCAGTTTTCAGCCAGGTTAGGCAGGGAATATGGAACCCTGTAGAATGCAGTCCCTAACCCTCTCTCAGTCCCATACCTTCACAGCTTTACTACTTTAGGGTTCTGGATTACTAGTCTAGCAACATTACCACTATGCTACTGTCCCTCATGTTAAAATAACAACCAAGTAATAATATTGTATACTTGTTTTTGCCCTTATGTCAGTTCCAGTTTTATTTTTATCCAGGTTTTTAATAGCCCTGATGGTGTGTGACATGGGTCATGAATACAAAATTAGGTTCTTACACAACAGAGGCATTTTCTTCATATCTGTCTGATGAACAATCATAATGAAGGAGAATTTTAACTGTTGACTGCCTGTTTATCATGTTCAAGATAGATGACTGTGGTTAAAATATTTAATGGGGTCCTCGTAAACCATTTGCACCTGGAATCAACTTTTTTGCGGAGACTTTAAATTGGCATCCAGCACTCAATGCTTATTATAGGACTTTGACTGCGATGTTGAAGAATAAAAAAATGAAGCATGTTCAGGACACAGCAAGTCCCAATTTCTCCAAGTACAAGACATTCCTCTGGGTTCTACAAAACATCTTCCAACTGATGATTCATTCTCAACCTTCTTTCACTTGCCTCTTCTTCAAAATATACTTGAACTACTTGCTGCTGGCTTTGGTGCGTAGCTGTTTGATTTTCCTCCTCTCTGGTCCAGTGAGCTGCAGAAACAGAGCTATTTGGCGCTTACAGCTCACTAGGAATATGTTGCCAGGGCCCACCAACAATGTACAAAAATCCTTATGCTTCAATGGAAAACAAAGGTTAAAGCCACACTACACTCTGTAACACTGGGTCAAAACTTCCTGTTTCAGATTGTCAGAGTCTGGATGTCTCTTGTGTGATACGATGCTGTGGATGTCCTACTGTGCTGACATATGTGAGAATTGTTTCAGTGGTTTAAACTTCTGATGGGCAGTTCTCCTACTCCCTGTGGCATTGCGGCGGGGAGGGAGAGTCCTCCTGCTTGGTCATCCTGTCCCCAACAGAGGAATGAGCCAGCATCAAGTGCTGTGCCCCAGGAAACCCTACTCCTGAAGCGGTATTAAACAAAACTAGAGGCCATCCATGTAATATATCCGCCAAGAAAGCAAATAACGAATTCATAGGAAGCCAGAGAGCTTTCCCAGATGGCAAATGTAGAACACGTGACTGCAAGGAGTAGCTGAAGTGAATAATGCAGATATATTTAAGGGAGAGCTAAAGAAGAAAATGAGAAAGCATGTAATAGAGGGTAATCCTGATAGGGCCAGATGAGGAAAGATTGAGTAGTGGGCAGGAGGTCGGTTCAAACAGAGCATTCATGCTTGTATGACCTGGTTTCACAGAATAGGCTGTTTCTATGTTGAATATCACCTGTAATTTTACGTAAGTCATACCTGTGAGGTACATTTCCTCTCCCTCTGTGAACATCTGGTGACATCTGACACACCTTGCACAAGTTGGGTGGTAATGCTTGCCTCCTGCCTACAAAAAAAAGCACAGTTTATTAGCAAATTTTGTTAGCTTAACTATTAAGTTTCCTGTTGAGGCATATGGACTCCCCAATTGCTTTTCTTCTATGCACTCTGAGTGTCTGACATTTATGCTAAGTGCTAACATGGAAAATCTGCCATAGCTCTCAATGAATTGTTACTATACAGGAATCAATCAAAAGCTTGTACTTTCCTGTTTCTGAGTTGATGTATTACAAATTTCAAATTTCTTTTTAAACCTTTCAGTAATGATATGAATTTCACACCTCCATGCCACTTTTCGCTGCAATGGTGTCATTCTTTGTCTCATCTTACTACAGGTCAGATTATCAGTTAAAATGGCAGAGAAATGGATGCTATGTGAATTAATATAGATATTTCTGTATCTCAGCAAAATTTTTAAGTACATTAATTGTCATGGAGGTAAAGAAGATGCTAATGTTTGTAAAGAAATTGCTTATACAGCTTTCTGGTGTGTCTGTGGATTTTCTCTTTCAGGGTGAAATATCAGTAAATATAAATGCAAGAGCCAATAGCACAACACATACTTATTTTCAATCTGTAATCAAACTTGATAACAAAAGGCCCATCAAACTTCTCATGAAGATCAACAGAAGAAGTATTAACGAATCAATGTGTAAATGCAAAATAGTTTTCTACTTCCTAATTTTGAAAAATAACTGGTTGAGAATATTATGCATCAACATGAATAGTTATTGTGAAATATTTTATCACTATAGGTGAAGTTAATATTCATAAATGCATAAATGGCTTACAGTGTATCACGTTGTACATTTTGCAATGAATCAGAATCCAATTAAAGTTATTTCAAACTTTAACAATGTAGGAAAGGGCAAACCAGTGATTCATAGCATTCTACATCCAAATGGAACAGAACTGATGAAAATAATTCACTTATCAGATGCAAGAAAATATGAGACTTTTTGGAAGTTGTTGAGTGTAGTTTTCACATGTGAATATTGGAACAGGCAGCTCCAATGTACATGGGTTGTTTCATACTGTTGCGGCTTGAGATGCATAAGCAACACATGAAATGTTGTTTGTATTAAACAGAGTTGGGGTTTTAAGTAAAAGAGTGAGGTTCGGTCAGTTCAACCAGGTGGACATAAGTGGTACTTGAAGAAGAGTAGAGGAGCCATCCCTGGGATCTTCAATACTTATCCGTCAGTCAACATGATCAATCAGAACATTATCTGGTCTGGTCTTTTGGGAGCACCACTCCTTCTCCATTACTGCAGGTCTTCACCTGGTCATTAGGTAGGAGACACTGTTGCTCTGTTGCTGTATGTGGCGTAGGTCTGGCCCATTGCTTGAAACTGTGCTGTTGTAGCCACCCAAGCCATCTTCCACTTCATCTGGAGGCCTAAGATGTCTGCAGGCACTCCACGTACAAAGCTCTGGATAAGGTGGGGGAGGGGGCAGAGAATGTACCAACATTGCCCTCATCTTGATAGTCACCTTTGTGTGCGGCTGCATCAAGCTGTACATAGACCCACGGTAAGCAAACACCAAGTGTCACTATGTAGTGAGGTTCTACCTGTCCTTTGTGTTGCGAAGGATGGGACTGGCCTCTTTGCCGTGGAATGCTCCAAGTAGTTGGACCATTCCGTATCACCTGTCTTTGTAGAAAAATTTGACAAGAAAAACACTTTTGACCACGAGTCCATCAGGAACACGTAGCATCCTTGAGACCCTGACGGAAAAGGAGAGAGTGGGTCCTGTTATATGGTTCCCTGACCAGACTGTCAAAATCATTTGGCAGAACGCCTCATCACCAGAACTTTCCAACTAGCATAGAGACATTGCTCGGGCTGGTGGTGAGAAGGCACTACCTGTCAGATCCTTCATGTACGCCCAGTCAGTCTGTGCTACCGCACGCTGCCCTCGAAGCAGCTGCGGTGGAGTTGAAAATGTCACACATCTCCTGCTGAAATGTGCCTTTGCGAAGGAAGTCTGGAGAAAGATGCAGTGGTTTTTGTTGGGGTTCATTCCAAGCAACTCCATGATGCAGGACTCTGTGCTCTACGGTTTGTTCCCTGAGGGGCACACTGAGACAAAAACTGACTGTACCTGGAGTACCATCAATTCTATGACAGACGCTCTTCGGTCTGCCTGAAACTTGTTGGTCTTCCAGAACAAGGAGTTGACCTCGTCCTAGTGTTGCAGACTGGCACATTCCAAGGTCCAGGACTACGTGCTGAGGGACAGTGGGGAAAGACCACTGTCTGAGGTCTTCCTGCTGAAGGTAAATGAGGGTCCATTCAGTTATCAGACTCACCCAGTGTCTCAAATTTTATGTAAATATTAGTATTGTATGTATAACAGAGGTCTTTGGATTTTTGGATAGAGTCAAAGTCCAATGGTTTGTTTGTTTACTTGATATGCAACTGTACAGAACCAAACTGCATTTGTGACTATGTATATATACGAAGATCTTTTATAAATTAACTTTTTTTTAAATTTCAAAACTATACTTCTGTGGTCGTTTTCATGCTGTGAGAGTTTGCTGAGTGTAAATTAGTAGTTACATTTCTTACATTGCAAGACTGGTTACCCTTGAAGTACTTAATGAGTTGCAAAGTGCTATGTGATGTGCTGAGATCTTGAAAGATGGCATATAAACTGAGGTTTTTCATTTCTTTCTTGAGAAAAACAGAAAATTTACCACAGTCTATATTGGTGGTTGGTGCTGGGAACTTATGCTAAGACTTTGAGTGAGATCACAGCAAATTACTTTGTACTGGGTCTAAGTGTGTAATGTAGTGTCTCTTTCATTAAAAACGTGACTTTAATTGATCTTTCAAGGCATATGAGCATTCAGAGTCCACAATCTACATTACACATATTGGCACTGTACTTAAAATAAAAACTAGGTCTGAATCTTCTGTATTGAATTCTTAAAAGCACAATCTAGGTATTTAATTTAAATGAAAATTCACAGATTGATAAAAAGATTATGCCCTAAGGTTTATTACAGTATTAAACTTATGCTTTCAAAAGTGTTCTGGCAACAATAATGTTGCAACAAGCTTAACAGTATTTCCACTGATTATGAATATTCAATAAATTATTATCTCAAGCTTGCCATTTAAAAGGATTTATGGTAGCTCATGTTTCAACACACATAATAACTTTTGACTTAATACTCCAGAGATTAGATGCCATTGTCAGAAATCATAAATAGCTCACCAAACTGTAAATATTATGTGAACAGGTACTTAATGAATTCATTCCTTTCCCATATGTATTGCTACATTAATAAAGGCAGATAATGATTTATTAATCAAAGGGCATCAAAGACTGATAATAACATCGTTACCATTCTACTCGAGGAATTCTTCACCACTCACCGTGCTTAAGTATTAATCTTTCAACAGTGAAATGTGTTTGCTATCATATATCTGTGCCATGCTTATCTATGCAACTTGCCACACATATGAAGATACATCGCAGATGTAATCAAAGCTGTGGCAATTCAATAAATTATTTAGAAGTTTACCACGGTGTCTTTTAGATATTTTAATCAAACTGTTTGGACATGTTATGACACAACACTACAGCAAGGGGTCTTGAACCCTGACCTTCTAGCTCAAAGATGGGTACATTACCACTGTCACAACAGCCCAGAGAAACAATGGCACCCAATATGAGACTCAAACTCAGGACCCTAAGATCAAGTTTCACGCTGCACTAAGCTAGCCGGGCATATGGCATTTTCTCTACTTTCAAAATTGTTTGCATTTACTTGCATCATGTTATTTAGACACAGTTATTGATGTTCCAATCAAATAAGGGTTAAAGATTTGTATTCAATAAATCATACAATTCTCTGCAGACAATGATAAGAGTTTCTTGCCAGTAATTAATGCATCTAACCATAAGTCAAATTTATCAGCTAAACTTTCTCCTAATTAGAGGATGTCCTAAATGATGTTCTATTCAATTACACACAGGCAAGTCCAGCACAGCATTGCTTATAGTCAATGCGCATTGAAAACTATAAATTAAATACAGGAGAATCACTAATAGTCACTCGGAAATAGCAAGAACTGCAGATGCTGGAGTCAGAGTCGATACAGTTTGTGGCTGGAGGAACACAGCAGGTCAAACAGCATCAGGAAAGTAGGAGAGTTAACGTTTTGGGCCTAAATCCTGATGAAGGGGCTAGGCCTGAAATGTTGACTCTCCTGCTCCTCTGATGCTGCCTGATCTGCTGTATTCCTCCAGCTCCACAGCATATTGAAACACTAACAGTGCAGTTCCAAATTTAAACATATAGCTCTGGAGGGCTGATTAACAAAGATGTGAAATGGTCCCTGTGGACAGAAGACCATTAACATAAGTTAAGTGATGAGGATAGGCATTTTATGAAAGTATGACCAATACATTTTGCAACTTCCTCCCAATTCCCCAGAGAAACTTCATTTTTATTTTGTGAGCTATGTAACAATATATATTGCCCTCCAGTAAGGAATGAGGGATCATCATAACGACTACAACTAGGGCTCCACCATTAAATAACACAATGTATAATTGCTATCGAGCGTGCTAGTTAATTTCAAACACTTTCAGAAGGCTTCATAACTGCAGGTCATCTAATTTTAAAATTGGATATTAGAAGTCAGCCCCAACAGAAGAAATCTGAATCACTTGATCCTTGGACATTGAATCAAAGACTGGGCTACTTGAGTTTCCAACGTTATTTTTGTCTTTGCTTGATGGATTTGGTGCTGTATGTTTAAATATGGAACTGCACTGTTAGTGTTTCGATATGCTGTGGAGCTGGAGGAATACAGCAGGTCAGGCAGCATCAGAGGAGCAGGAGAGTCAACATTTCAGGCCTAGCCCCTTCATCAGGATTTAGGCCCAAAACATTAACTCTCCTACTCTCCTGATGCTGTTTGACCTGCTGTGTTCCTCCAGCTACAAACTGTATCGACTCTGACTCCAGCATCTGCAGTTCTTGCTATT